TGGTTTATTTGTTACACCTGAAAATAATACGATTGCATATGGACGTAATGTATCAATTGTTTGCAGTCAACAAAATCGACCAGGTTGCTAATAAAAATCATTTAAATAAATTTATCTTTTTTACAGTACTCATTTTTTTTTCTTAAAATTAAGCATTAAAATATAACCGTAACGAAATGAAGAATTGTCATTCTTATTAATTTTAAAAATGAAGGAAGAAAATGTTGAATTTTTCATTTAATAAAAAAAAACAACAATACGATAATTAGATTTCAACAATCAAGTAGTGATTTTTTTTTTCTTAAAGAGAAATGTAAAGTTGAATTTTGCATTTTTTTAATGTGCAATAATAATCTTTGAACATTTGATGCATTCAATAATGTTGTCTTTTTTTTTTTTGCATTTGCTAGATTAAATAATTAGTATTAATTATAGCAAGCAGTTCGCTACTATCATCATTCCGTCAATGCATTTATGATCCGCAAGAAAATGGTCGAGATTATTGGTTATCAGGACCAGAAATTGATTGTCCTTTGGTAGATTGCGGTCCACCACCATCACTCGCTGGTGCTATTTATGAAGGAGACGATTATTCTTACAAAGTTAGATATTATTTTGATTTAATACTTCAAATGATTAATTTAAAACAAAAAAAAAGGGAACAGGATAATCTTAAATATATTACAATTAAAAGTGCCTGAAACTATCTCTTAATTTTTAGTTTTAATTGATTAATTAATAATTTGTTGTTTAAATTTTGCGCTTTTTTTCATGTTCAAAGAATTCATCAATTTTATTAGTTAATTAATGAAATTCAATTTTTTCAGGTAGGGTCGGCATTTACATTCAGTTGTAGACCACCGTATAGTTTGATCGGTAAATCCAGTTATGATGATCGAACTATTCGATGTAATGTTGATGGTAATTGGGATCTTGGAGATTTGAGATGTGAAGGTTAATCCATCTTAAAGAATAAATATAATCAAAAATTAAAAAACGAAATTTATGAGAATATTTTAAATCTGCTATTACTCATTCGTATAGCTTGAATCAATTTTTTGACATCTAGGACCTGTTTGCATTGATCCCGGATTTCCGGATGATGGTCAAGTGCAATTGGATTCAGTGGAGGAAGGCGCACAAGCAAAATTTAGTTGTAATCGAGCTGGCTATAAGCCATTTCCATCTGATACAATTAATTGCACACTTGGAACAGCTTGTGTCTTAGCAGAAGATGTTGGAATTTCATCCGGTTTCATTCCGGATGGTGCATTTGCTGATAATTCTGATTCGACCACTTGGGGTTATGAACCTCATAAGGTAATGAATAAATCAATAAAAAAGATTTTCTAAAATCTAAAAATTTTTTTTTTTTTAATTCAATTATCCGTATATGTATTATTGTTGTTATTTATTCGTATCATTTATAAAACTTTAATTTCAGGCTCGATTATCATCTACCGGTTGGTGTGGTTCTAAAGATGCATTTATCTTTCTTTCCGTTGATTTACAACGTATCTACACGTTGACAACATTACGTATGGCTGGTGTTGCTGGTAGTGGTCATTTACGTGGTCATATTACTAAAATGCAATTATTCTATAAAGTTCAATATAGCCAAAATTATGATACATATCCAATTGTACGTTACATTTTTTTTTTATATATAACATTGGAAAATTTCTAAATCTATAGTTGATGAAATTACAAAAAAATATTGTTTAGAAGAAAAATTATGAAATATAAGTAATCATGTTATTTGATAGGAATTTGAAACACCATCTGGAAATCATAATTTAATGCATCAATTTGAATTAAATCCACCATTACGAGCACGTTATATCCTTCTTGGCGTTACGGAATACGAACAGAATCCTTGCATCCGTTTTGACGTACAAGGATGTTTAGCACCACTTTCAGTTGCTCATGAA